GCAGAAAAAAGGTTCCCCATCCCTGCCTTAAAGGAATACAATTTCACATAAACATGCCAGGACCTCAGTTACTGACCTACAACTGCATTAAAGTCCTTGTCAGCACTCAAGAATGCAGTGGTCTCTTCTGTGATGTTCACCTTACTTTTCTCCCTACATGGAGTTCTGCTTTGCTTTCAGCTCTCAGTGCATCTCAGTAGGAACAGTTACAAATAGTTGCATGCTTGTACAAAGTAATTTGCACAAAGAGCTGGATAGACTATATGTTGTTATATAGAGTAGTTCAGTGTTTTTTAACTTCATTGAAATTAAGTGTTACCTATTTATTATACAGTACATTATGTAATGTATTGCAGCAGAAACTGGCCCAAAAACGTCCATGTTTAGCTATAATAATAACTGTAAAAACCTATCACCATTTAGTAATTTTACATCAAACAAAATTGAGGAACAGCCATCAGAAGCTAGGGTTGTAGAATGACCTTGTATCCATCTACAAATTATTAAAACATCCATCATAAAACCTTTAATAAAGTAATGTGTTACTATTGGAGTATTACTGTTGTATAATTATTAGACAAAATATTTCAAGGATCCATTAATAAATGACTCCAACTGGCACTACAATTAAAATACACAAACAGGTTAGTGGAAGTGTCCTTTTAGAGTAAGACTGATATTTAGAGGTATTTATTTAAAAATTAAAGATGAAGTGTGATAGTCACTAGAAACTGCCTTTTCTGCCTTGTCAAATGGATTTTTTCCAGCCTATGAATACAAACTTTCATCTCTATTGTAAGGCATATAAATGTTATTACAAATTGAATCACAAAACTTGATATAAAAATAACATATACAGAGAATACTAGTCTAAAAGCACAAAATTGTTACTTCCACACAAATGTTTGTACACCCTCTTACCCTTATAGTTATATAAAATTATTTTGTGAAGTTCTAGAGAAAATAATTTTGAGAAAACAAGGGTTTAAAAGAGATGACAGACTATGTCCAACAGGTTAAATATCAGAAGTACTTATAGTGACATAATGTCAGATAATGAGACATCTGACACTGCAGAGGTCATAGAAGTAGAATCCAGAATGAACATAATGGTTTCAGTGAATTCAAAAGGTAAGAAGCACTGAAAATATAGAGGGGACTAATTCTGACGAAGACCTTGCCTGTGCAAATAGAATAATAGGAAAAAATGACTATGAAAGCATCACTGTCCAGACTGAAAACTTATCAGAACAGTCTTGCTCTGTTCAGATGTAGTCCACTTAATTTAGTAGTAACGTCCCTTAAAGGTATATAGTAGATGATTTATGTCTACATAAGTTTTAACAATAAAACTGTACTATGCTTCAGTAATCTTTGCTTTAAAAAAATGCACAACAATATCTGGAACCATTTTTTTTTCTGTAGAGCCTTTATAAGACTATTGAAGGCAATATTCCCCTACATCAGGCAAAATCCTGGAAATGTATGGATCGTGAATGTATGTTCCACAATCAGGTCACTGTAACGCACCCTTCTTTTTCTGTTCAAGTTCTTGCAGACGTTCCTCTCTGAACTGAGCATGCTGGGTCCCCACTTTGTGGGCTGTCTCTGTGGCAGTGATATCAATCTGGGCGTACTTGGTAGAGCCCCCTCCTGCAGAACAAAAACATAATCCATGAATGTTACTTTGCATCAGTAACATTACAACAGCTCATAAATTCAATGAGAATTACTTTTTATCGCCTCAGAAACTGGCACATTCCAAAATGCTCAAGTGCGCTGCAGAATTCGGTTAAGTAAACCAAAGGGATTATGGGTTTAATTGCTAACTTATGCTAATTGTTAAGAAACTAGACCACTCTACTTTATTTTGGATTTAATTTTTAATGGGGGGGATTATTAAAATCACTTCTATTGTGTTTCTTAATTTTACCTATTTCCTTGCCCTGCCTGCCACAAATTGTATGCAGTGCTATATGAGTTTGTAAAATAGAAATCATGGAAACATCAAGCCTTTGATGCAAAGCAATACTTCAGCATGTTAAAACACAAGTTTCATAATCAAACATGATAACTGATGAATAAAGCTGATGGCACCAAGACATTTCACAACTTAACTTTCACAATCAGAATTTTGCAACACGGTAAATGTAAATTCACTTTTGTTTCCCATGTATTTTCATACAGTGGCTATTAAAAGCATACCTTTGGACATTTCTTACATTATGTTGTGTTACAATATGGAAAAAAATGCATTTAACTGGAGGTTTGTACTGTAACGCTCTCGCCTGGTGGTGAGGAGGAAGCGCCCCTAGGCACTCATAGTACCGCTGGGCATGCTGGGAGTTGTAGCCGGGGAGAGTCTGAGGGTCAGCACGGTGACCAGCGGCTGACCCTACCTATGTAAATAATGTCCTAGTAGTTATAGTGCCCCGTGTAGTCTTATAAGTGTATACCGTGTTGTTAAGTAATTACCACCCTAAAGATGTGTACATGTTCTGTCAGTCTCCTCATGTGCGTGTATATCCTGTGTTTGGTTTTGTGGTTGTTAATGAATAAAGCTATCGCTTGGTTTGTTGATTGCATCTCCACTGGTCCTTTGTTCTGAGAAGAACCTGTAAATGCTACATTAGTGTCAGAAGCAGGCAGGATGGACAAATCATGGCAGACATTAGCCGATTCTGTCAAGCCCCGGCTGACTCTAAAAGAGACGGAACCCATCGGCAGCGCACATAGGGAGCAACTCCGGGGTGCGACAGGTGGCCACAGCCCTTACCAGGGCTACTAGTAGTGGTCCCACCGGTAGAATTGGGGAGACTGGCAGCTACTCCTGGTCAGCGGGTGCCCCAGAGAGAGGATACCCTCTCTGCCGGAGCCGACCAGCGAATCCCACACCCATCGGCACGGGGGCAACCAGATCGCTACGACGGGGAAGCGCCTTGGGAAACCTACGAGGCGCAGTTCCACCTCACGGCCCGGACGAATGGCTGGAGCTGGGCGGAGATGGCCGGCCACCTGACGGCAGCGCTGGAAGGAGCGGCCTGCCAGGTGCTCCTGGACGTCCCGGAGGAGGACAGAGGCGAATATGCGGCACTGGCAGCAGCTCTCCAGCTGCGCTTTGGTGTGGAGGAGGCGCCGGACCTGATGCGGGAGAGGCTGGCCCTGCGGCGGCGCCGACCAGGAGAGCGACTGGGCCCGGTTGCCGCTGATGTCATGTTCCTCACCCGCCGAGGATACCCAACTTTTCCCCGGGAGGCGTAGCGGGAGATGGCTCTCCAGGCCTTTCTCAAGGCCCTCTCACCCGAGGAGCTGCGGCGCCACGTGCAGCTGGTCGCGCCAGCATCGCTGGAGCAGGCCTTGGCCCTTGCTACACGGGCTGAGGCTGTGTTCAGGGTGGCTGGAAGCGCCAGCAGACACAGTGCGCCCTGCTGGCTGACCGAGGCGGCGACGGAGGAATCCAGCGAGGGGGTAGAGGAGCCAACCCATGAAGCGACCCCCGCGGAACAGTCCCGCACGCTGATTTGCGACCGCTGCGGGAAGAGGGGACACCGAGCCCGGTTCTGCCGGCACCCGAACCTCGCACTCCTCGGCGTCGGGAAACGGGAACGGGGCGGCACAGCGTGGGGATGGCCGCCCTTGAACACCTCAACCCCCGCTCCAGAGAGTGCTGTGAAGACCGGTGCCCCTCACACCATCGTGGAGCGAGTCGGCTGTAGTCAGGGCCTGTACCTCCACTGCCAAATTGAGAATGAACCCTGCCTGGCCCTACTCGATACCGGTTCATCTGTAACCCTACTCCGGCCAGGCATCCTCCCCGACACCGAGGGCACAAACCCCGCCGGATGGGAGGCCTCCAGCCTGCGGCTAAGGACCATGACGGGACAGCTCGCTGCAGTCCGGGGGAAACAGGTGCTTGCCTTCCATCTAGGTGCAGCGACAGTGTGCCACCCCTGCTACCTCGCACCCATCCAGGAGGACTGCATTCTGGGGCTGGACCTATTGCAGCGACTGGGGGCCAGTTTGGACTTGGGCCGGCAGGAGTTGGTGTGGCAGGGGGAGCGACATCACCCGGTGGAGGGTAGGCCTGGCGAAGGCCGAGGGACACAGGCTTGCCGGAGCCGGTGGAAAAAGAGGCAGTGGCAGCGGTGGCAGTCGCCGGGGCAGACTGGGCCTGCGAGCCGGGGAGCGAGCGTGACGGATCCTGCCCCCGAGACGGCCGGGGGGCCAGACAAGGTGGCGGCGGCAGGGGCCGAGCGTTGCGTGGAAGCGAGGCGCGCCGTTGAGGACCTCTAGCAGCAGAGCTGCGAGGGCCTGATCAGGACCAGCGGCAGCGGCTCCAGGAGCTATTCGCCCAGAACAAGGACCTCTTTGCGGCGAGAGATGAGGACTGCACCCGCACTGCCCTGGTCCAACATGAAATCAACACTGGCGACACTCGGCCCATCCGCATCCGACCGGGACACATGGTTCACGCCAAGCGGACCGCCGGCGAGGAAAAGATCTGGGAGATGGCCGCAGCGGGGGTGACTGAGCCCTCCGTGAGCCTGTGGTACGCACCAGCTGTACTGGTAAAAAAAAAAAGACAGCTCGTGGAGGTTCTGCGTCAACCACCACAAGCTGAACGAGGTCACCCAGAAAGATTCCTACCCCCTGCTGAGGATAGGTGACGCCCTGGACTACATCACCAGGTCGACCTGGTTCAGCTCCCTGGACCTCCGCTGCGGCTACGGCAGGTACAGCTCGATCCCGATGCTCGCCCGAAGATGGCCTTTTCCATCGGCCAGGGCCTCTGGCAGTTTACTGTCATGCCTTTTGGCCTGTGCAATGCCCCGGCGACGTTCGAGAGGCTGAAGGAGAGGGTGCTGGCATTGGTCCTGCAGAGCGATGGGTGGTTGGAGCAGTTTAATCGGACGCTCGCCACCCAGCTGGCCACCCTGGTGTCCTGGCACCAACAGGACTGGAACCGCCACCTCCTCCTTGCGCTCTGGGGGTATCAGACCGCGGTCCAGGAATCCACCGGGTGCATCCCGGCCACGCTCATGCTGGGCTGGGAAATGCAAACCCCGGTGGACCTGGTCATCGCCCCGCCGCCCAGAGACGGGTCGGCACCGCCGGCTGGACCGGACTACGAGTGGGACCTGCAGCAGCGGATGCGGCGGGTGCACAGCTTTGCACGGACCCACCTGACTCCAGGAGCTACTCGCCCAGAACCTGTGTTTCACATTATTTCAGGACGAATACAGCTACCTCTGGGAAAACCCACAGTGACTAGTACAGCTCCCAACAAAAACTATATCATAAAGGCAACAAATCCAGGATAGGGTTATTGAAAAGCACCAACCAGGGAAACGGTAGAAAAAGATTCCAAGGCATTGAATATTCCCAGAAGAACATATGTAATCCATTAAAAAGAAATTGAGAAAATACTGCATAATTGTGAATCTGGACAGAACATTCCAAACTGAAGCTCTAGGCGAGAAGAGCTCTAGTCAGGGAGGCCATCAGGAGGCCTGTGGCAACTCTAAAGGAATTACAGTCTTCCATGGCAAAGATGGGAGAAACTGTGCGTATGACAACAATTACCCACGTGCTGCACAAACATGGGCTTTCTGGGAGAGTGGCAGAACAAAATCCACTGTTTAAAACAACTCACATCAAATCTCAATTACAGAAGGCCAGAAGGCAATTAACCTTTCTGGTGCAAGCATAACACCACATATCATCCTGAGAACACCATCCATACTGTGAAGTATGGTTGTGCCTGTAACATGCTACAGAGATGCTACGCTGCATTAGGGCCTGGGACACTCGTGAAGATAGAAAGAAAAATGAATGCAGAAAAGTGCAGAGAAATCCTGAAGGAAAACCCTTTGCAATCTGGAAGGGACTTGAGACTTGGGAGAATATTCATTTTCCAGCAGGACAATGACCCAAAACATACAGCCAAAGCTATATGTTTTGGGTTATTGTCAAAGCAACAAAGAAGTAGCTTAAAAACAATAAAAGTCAGTGTTCTGAATTGTGCCAGTCAAAGCCCGGACCTCAATGTAATTGAGAACATTGTTGTTCACCAACAATCCCCATCCAACTTAAGGATGCTAAGCAATTTCACAAAGAACAATGAGCAAGAACTGCACAGCTGATAGAGACTTATCCAAGAAGACTCAATTTTGGCTATAATTTCTGCCAAGAATTCCTGTACCAAATACTGACTCAAGGGAGAGGAGTGCTTATGTAAACAAGTAAATTATAATAATAATTTAGGATGATCTGTATAATTTTGTTCACACTTTAACATTATAAAGTGTTTTGTGTTAATCACAAAACATAGCAATTAAATATATTATTACTGTAACACAAAAAAAGGTGAAGGTCTAAGTTGGGTGTATTCTTTTGATAGCCACTGTAATTGCAGATTTCTGTTCTGTTTTTTAGAATATGTGGAAAAGGATATAATACTTTCAAAACCCACCTACTGTATTTAGAGTCTATGATTACATTTGGAGACTTATCATTATGGGCATCATTGAGTCGCAGTGGTTAGCATTACTAACCTCACAGTCTCACAGTAATGGGGCCCTCCATTCAATTCTGGACCTGGGGTGCTATCTATGTGGAGTTTTACAGTAAGTAGCACTGAACCCAGGCCTCCAGCAATGCAAGGCAGCCATGCTAAACACTGCATCGCCATCCAGCCCTGTTGAATGGCATTAGCATCAAATTTGCTCATGTTTGAGAAATATGACTTTACATTTTTTTTTAATTAGAAGTAACACACAACTGGAAAATAAATGTGGAAACCAAAAAATATGCAAAATGAAAATAACTACAATACAATCCATCTCGATTGCAAAAATGAAATGCATCATATGGTTGTCATGCAAGCCATGAGAGAAATGTGCCACACCCATACACAGACTAGAGTATTGTAGTATAGTGAAAGCTATGAGTCCCGAGAAGGAAATATCATTAAATGGACACAGAAATCAAAGTAGCTAGTGAAGGCTACTGTAAATGACATGATGCATCCAGACTCCCTGATCCAGCAGGAGTTAGACAGCCAAAATTGACCCAAAGCTAATATTGTCTTGATAAAGTGCTAACAACCTACAGTGCTATATCTCCAACTATAGCTAAAGCTACATCTGGAAAAGAAACATACAATGTAGCACAGAGCGGATATGAACACATATCATTGGACAAGGAATTCATCTTAGGAAAAATGCAATGATCCCATGCAGCTGGACAATACAATGAAATGATGTTGTCGCAATACAAACATTAGTCCCTATGGTATATGGTTATACACAAACACTGAGAAAGTCATTGATTAACTATGACAAGTGCTACAGGCGTATTAGAATACAAGTGTATTGGAATACAACAGAAATAATTGATAATAGGAATAATAATAATAATTCTGCAGTAATAAAAACAGAAGTACAGTCATGCATTTCAGCCAATTATTTTTCATGCCTCATCACTCTAATGTGCAAGGATGAAGCAGTACTTCATACAGTACAAAATACCATTATAACTGCTTCTTCCAATTCATGGTTGTAGGTGAGCCAGAGCCCATCCTGGCAAATACAAAAACATATTGTCAGGCTTGCCCCCATTGCAAAGCTGAGGAGCAAGCCAGTGTTTGCCAGGGTAGGCAGCCACCCATCCATCACTCACTCAGTGCTGCCTGCCATGGAAACGCATGCCGACAGGAAATCTGCATCACCTGCAGGCAATTTTCATACGCCTGTATTAGGTGGTATAGAATATTAAGGAATGCTCTGACTCTGCTCAGGGATCTGTTAAGGAGTACTATCTCCGAGTCCCTCGATTCCTTGTTCCCATTTCTCTAGTTTTGCCTTGCTAGGATCCTTGACCTCTGCTGTGTTTTCCCTGTATTTACTTGGCTGTGGACTCGCTTCCACAACATTGTCTCCTGGATGTGCCTTTTGCCGAGAAATGTGTTTTATTTAGTTTCCTGGATTTGATTCTTTCTTTGCACCGACCACTACCCTTGGATTGTGCTTTGGACTTTGGTTGTTTGGACCAACCATGGACCCAAACTCCACTCCCTACCTGCTACACTACCATCCCTGCCTATGTGCATACAGTAGCTCTACTATGTCACCAAGTTAAACATGCTTCTACCTGCATCACCACATTGCCTGTGTGCTCAGCTTTCTTAGCTCATAGCCTGCAGATCATCTCCTATTGTGCGTGCTTCCCACTTAGCCTAGTCTGTGTTCGTGCACAGCACTCCTCAGCTTTCCCCTGACTGCATGCGGTTGTGCAGTTTCCCAACAGCGCGCTGTTGTGTGGTTTCCAGGTTTTTTTCGGCTGGCTCACCCAGCACATGGGTTCATCTTACAGAGATCTCGAAGATCCGCTGCTTGTTCCACCGAGCAGCAGAATATTACACGTCAGCTACAATTTGTTTTTAAACCACCTTCGTCATGCAATATTCATTCACCTCAAAATAATGCAGCATCAGAAAAGAGCAAAGCGGCATACAATGTCAAAATCAGAGAAATCAAAATCTGTTATTTCAAGTAAATATATATTCTTCCTATGTCTATGGAGATGCATTGTGTTACCTCTAACTCCAGAGCCAGGTTCCTGAAGCTCTAATTCCATATAATGAAGCTGCTTCTTCGACGTCGGACTGACAGGAATATTAACATAGGTCACCCCTTCACCACGAAGCTTTTCCGGCACTTGTACGTCCGTTGAGATGGCTGACATGCCCCCTAGCAATGCATAATTAATCAAGGCTAAAACACCGGTAGACACTTTAAAGATTTCCATAACCACCACAACTGGGGTAGAATTGGAAAGCACTCTTATACAGTAAAGCAGACAGTACCCAGTGTCGCTAAAGTAGCTGAAGCTCTGAAACTTAAGACTTTCTTAAAAAATGTTAATTATAACTAACGCAGAAAGAATACCCATGACCTAAAGATTCATATGTAAGCTTAAAAGATGTCTCCAAAATAAAGGCGTATTATGCTGCTTTTTCTGGCATAAAGACATTTGCCCCCCATTAGTTATGACAGTTGCAAATGTTCTCTAGAAGTGCATCTGTCTATTGCTGGTCGCACAGTCAAAGTAGTCTCCCAGACAATACTTATGCTTGTCATTACTTGTTCTTTTCATTCACTTGTCACATGACTTCAACTAGGCTGAAGCCAAGGATTTGTTAATGCTTGCTTCAGTTTCAAAACCTTTAACTTTTAACCATAAGAATGGTTACAAACGACATTTTCCTTCTATAGCTAATTGAACCAAGGATATCATTCAGCAGTTTAAAGAAAGATGCCAGGGTATCAGCCTCAACAGTATGCTAGGCTTGTTCCATACTCCCACAATCTTTGTTTAAAGAAGTCCCTCCTGGTCTTTTTTTAAATACAGTATGTGATTTTGTTTTTAGTTTTTACCAATGTCATCTGTGCATAATTCACTGTTCGTTCTGAAGAAACCCAACAAATTGACTGTGTCCGTGTTTCTGTGGACTTTGAATACTTGATCCATCCTCATTTTCTTTCTCATTAAAGAAAACGAGGGTTTATTTTGGCTATGCATTTGAGATCATTAACTTCTGGTTGCTTTCCTGGGTATAATATATGGCTCTGAAGGAAATAAAATGTCATGCTTTTGCTTTTGCTATATCAGCAGTTTGTGAACTAGAAGTGTAACCTCAGACATCCAAGTTCCAAGGCACATGTGGTTGGATATTTATTTTCAAATATGTGCCATAGGAAATTGCCAGGTAAACCTAAATTACGTAATTAAAAAGAAAATAAACATTTTAAAACTGAATACTGATTTCACTTGTCCCGTGACCTTATCCTCAATGATCTTCTGTATAAAATGTTTGGCATAGCAGTAAAATCGATTCTGTCCAGCACAACTATGCTTTGGAAGTGATTACAAATGAGTAGACAACAACGCACAGTGCACAGTGTGTCAAAATACCAGCTGCAGGTGCAGCTGTCATAGCTAACAGAGGGAACGTTTCTGTGAGAAACATGTTTGAGATAAAAGGACTCTATAAAGTCCTCTGTTGAGATTTCCATTAAGAAATAGAGGAACAGCATACTGTATAAGTAAAGGTACTCTTTTCTGAAAGGTAGGTAAAAAATACAATGTTTTCAACTTCATATTCAACAATACTACATACAAACTAACAATATTCACCAGACGTGACTTCACATCTTTTTGGCATTTCAATGGTGGAGGTCATCAGCTCATAGCTGCCTTTTGAATCTACAAAAAAAAAGAAACCAACACAAAATCTTTCTCCGTTAGCAATCATTTTTAGTCTCTAGATATTAAAAAATTCACTTGAGGAAACACCTCTGATGCTATGAAAGCCATATCACATAATTGCTGGCTAAAAAGATAAGATAAAAAGAAATGTAATACCTGCAAACACTGCAGTGTGAGTAAAAGATTGTGCTAAACTGTCTTCCTGCACCTATGATCAAATTAGTGCTCAGTCTCTGTTTCACTGTGCAAATTACCCTGAAATGTATGCAAAAGAAGATTAACGTGTGGGAAAGGGCACACAAAAAAAAAGAGATGTTAGCATTTTGCCCAGTGCTTGGGCAAGCGCCAACCCTCCAACTTATTTACACCCTTCTTACATCATGCAAGAACCAAGAACAAAGTAAAATCAAGTTTGTCTCAGAATAGCTGCAGTTATACATTATGTACTAGCCAGCAGCCATATCAACCTGCAACTCACAACTGGCAACCCACTGAAGCTCAGCAGGTATGAGGCTGGTCAGTACCTGGATGGGAGACCTTGTTGGAAAAACTAAGGTTTCTGCTGGAAGAGGTGTTAGTGGGGCCAGCAGGGAGTGCTCACCCTGCGGTCTGTGTGGGTCCTAATGCCCCAGTATAGTGACAGGAACACTATACTGTAAAAAGGCCCTGTCCTTCGGATGAGACATACAGTAAAACCAAGGTCCTGACTCTCTGTGGTCATTAAAGATTCCAGGGCATTTCTCGAGAAGAGTAGGGGTGTAACCCTGGCGTCCTGGCCAAATTTCCCATTGGCCCTTACCAATCATGGCCTCCTAATAATTCCCATCTATGAATTGGCTTCATTACTCTGCTCTCCTCCCCACTGATAGCTGATGTGTGGTGACCGTTCTGGCGCACTATGGCTGCCGTCGCATCATCCAGGTGGATGCTGCACATTGGTAGTGGTGGAGGGGAGTCCCCATTACCCGTAAAGCACTTTGAGTTGAGTGTCCAGAAAAGCGCTATATAAGTGTAAGCAATTATTATTATTACAATTGTACAATAACATATATTGGACATATTTGAAATGCTTTTTTAGTAAGCAACCACAAGACACAGGACTAAAATTTCCATGTAACATACAGTATAGAAATGTGGATGATGTTTTGCCAGCTTTGCTTTAATTAATCACTAAGGATCCTGTCATCTTTTCCTGGTCTCCGTCATGGACCTTCTGGCAAAAGCAGCAATACTGACCCTCTCCACAACACTCCTAGTAAGAGCAATAGCTAACACTCTCCGCTACAATCCTGTTAAGAGCAACAACACTAACCCTCTCTGCTACACTCCTGATAACACCAACAACACTGACTTAATCTTAACCTTCTACAGGAGATCTAATCAAAGAACATTATTACCACAAGACCAATTTAATCTCAACTGTAGGTTAACATTTATTCAACATTTATTACAGTTTCGAGACCATGTCATAAAAAATAAATAAAATGAGATTATGAGAATTAGAATTAGATATAACAGTAAGTTTATATCCTTTACAATTCTACATATTTGTACTATTTTTTTAATCATTTATGGCAAGGACAGATTCACTTGATTTGTAACTAACATTACTACATTAAGATGTAGAAGTTCACCTTACAGCCACTATGGAGACTGCTATATGGTGATTTGTATTTTTGTGGTCTTCACTCTGAAACCACTAGAAATGGAAAAAGGCTCAGCAGGTCTGTCCTTTTGCAGTCTCTAAATAAACTAAAAATCCCCTCAGAAGCTGAAGACGAGCAATATGAAAGCACTGTAGCAGTCTTCCCTTTTTATTGTCTCAGCATGTACTCAGGGTTTATGACCTTTATTCTTAAACAAGCGTGTGATAGTCAGAGGAGTGAGAGTGAGCACAGCACAGCCTAAGGCCCCATGTGGGAAAGATCCTAAAATGTCTACCTCCCTCCTTTTTATAGAGGAACAAGGAGAAAGAAGGTGAACACGTGAGGAGAGGAAGAAAAAGTCAAGGCAGTTCAACACAGGAGGGCCGAATGTTACAGTATTATGCAGCACAAAGATATCATCTGCTTTCTCTGTTTCTCTGAAGCATTTTTTCCACATTGGTGTGGATTTCATTTATTAAAATGTAAAAAGCAATGTACACTAGGACCATTAGACAGTACCTAGTAATCTTGCATCTTACTTGAAAGAACCTTTTAAGTCTAATGGTTAATTATGTTTTTTTTAAGAAATTGGTTAAGTTTAATTGGCTACTTATTTGCAGAACAGGGCCACAGTCAATGGCTACGGTGTTTTCTCATTCTGGTGTCTTTCATGCATCATATTGCCCACCGTATTTTGCGAACCATTCTGAATATTAAAGCAATTAGCCCTCGTACTGCAGCAGTTACAATTATTAAATTGAATACAAAAATTCTCTTCACAATCCAGAACAGCTTTAACTGATGGCTGATAGAAAAACATGTTATTGTAAAACCTGAGAAAATGACAATACATACAGCTTAGGTAAACTGAAAAAGTGGAGAAAAGCAAATCAGATTTCTGAGTTAAAGACTGAAGTGAAGCTTTTTAAAATTCTGAGTGTAGAATGCTGGCATTATAGCCTTTTCTCTACTTCAGACTCAGGAAAGAGAGCAGTTCAAATGATATTCAGAAAGCACCCTGAAGACAGAAGGAACACTTTCCTACAGTGGTCAGTGTATGGAACAAAATACAAAGTTATGCTGAAGTTGCTGATTCACTGGAATCTGTCATAAATTGACCTGAAGGGTTTTTTTTATCAATAGGAAAATAATAAATAGAGAATCATGAAGCAGTAGGATAATAAATTGTATTATGCTCCCAAAACCCAAGCAATATAGATATTTTTCTTATGTTCACCAACTGCTACAGAGCTTTACAGCTGACTGAGGCAGGGCCATAATCAAACTCCCCTCTCCAATAATGAGACAAGTGCACACAGGGAAAATCCACAAACAGCTAATCATTATTAACAGATTGTTCTCTTACCAGAGAGTGAACTTTGTTCTCTATGCATCTGTAATGTGCCAGAAGTGCCTAGTGAAGATGTAGCACCTACGAATTAAACATAAATTAAAGTGATTCTCTGTATATATACTGTACACACATTACAATGTTTTGGGGAAAATTGTCTTTATTTTATTTTAATTTATTTTTTTAATTTTTAATTTGTATTTATTTTATTTTAAGTCAAAAAACACTCAAATAAAACAAACAAATGTAAAAAATAAATATAATTCAGCAGTATTCTTGTCACTATCAGATTATCAAAATGTAATCTTGTTAATTTTTAATATAAAAGTTCATATCCATTTTGGGGACATTCCCCACAGCATCTCTCTATTATACACTGACGATGATATAATTTGTAAGAATGCTTTTACAAGACAATTCTTGTGAGTATGGTGACTGCTTAGGGAGCTCTCTCATTTCAACCACTTAACACAATGGGAGTATTTCAAAAATTAAACATCAAACAATAATAATGATCACTTGAAAGTATCTCCACATATGCAGAATGAACAATTCTGTGTACACATCCTGAAATAATTCTTACAAATTTACAACAGAAGTATCCTCCCTACAAATGCCTCAACAAGAAAATAAGAGCCCAGGTTAAATGTATTCAGTGGTGCTTTTCTCTTAAGTTAATTTAACCACAGCCTTTCAAGATAATCCATTAATGCTCACCTATAATTCACCTTTGCAAAGAGTTTGAATGATAATAGTCTCACAAGACAGTACAAAGTAACCACATTTCATGGCTATTACTGTGTACAGACATACTATAAAATCACTGATAATTGTAATCATGTACATTTAAAGAAAACAATACATTGCTGTGAAGATAATGGTTTTCCGCAGATGGTTTTACTTTATCATGAGTACTTCGTGTTAGGAATGCTGAATGCTCAGTGAAAGAGCCTATGGAATGAGCTACTCCTAATGAGTAATTAGAATTCAGTGGGAGAGACATGTTACAGTACATGAAGGAAAGGAGTTGGTGTGATCGGACACACCTATTGTGAGGCTTATAAGAGCAGCTGGGAGGAAAAGCTAGCAGTCCGTATCTAGTCTCCACCCTAAAAGGAGAGAAAAATGAGCACTGCAGTGTGGATAGGGCTCAAGGTTTTGGACTGAATTGGCTTACAGGCCTGTGAGAGTGTGTAGGATACTCAGGAAAATGCATCTTACAGTAGGTCTACGCCGAGGGCTGTCACAAGTGCTGGACAGACAACTGTAGGGCAGTTTGTTTGGCGGGCTCAATAGGGTTGTAATGTGCTGCAGAGGATCAGAGCTGACAGCAGGTGTTAGTGCTGGTCAGTGTAGCGTAGCTGCAGGCTCTCCCCTTATTGATAAGTGGGAATTTAGATAATACAGGTAGAGTCTCCAGTACTCGCTAGCTTTGACATCAGCAGACTGAGGATCAGTCATGGATGGCAATTAAAGAAAAAAAAAACAAAACTGGCTGCTGCTGTGTCAGGGGTGCAATTTTATCTTTAAAACTTGCCTGTAAAAGGCAGACGGCGGTATTGTGGCACAATGGTGGCTAGTTACAAAAAAAATCAAAGTCCAGAATAAATTCAGCAGTACAATAAATAACACAACTTTATTTGTGAGTTTTCAAAAAGACTCAAAATACTGGCCTATGTACAATACTGTACATATACTTTTTCCAAGTAAATTTTCTTGGGTAACATACTGTACATTTTCCTGTGTATTGTTTTACCAATTAATATATAAGTGAGGGATGCAACTGTCCTATGGAAAGTCTCATGGTGCATTTTTACAAATGAGTTGACATTAGCTTTATTACTTATCTGATCAATGTACAGTACCAGTCAAATGTTTGAGTACACCTGCTTGAAACCAGGTTTTTCATGATAATCTGTGCTTTAAACTGTATAAACTTGTCTATAAACACTTCATATTTAATTACATGTTATGTGTACTTATAATCTTAAGTGATCTGCATTTAAAATGTTAATTTTTCATTTTCAATAAAATGAACACCCAAAGCAAGCAGATTTCAGTCTGAAGCCCAGGTTAGTTAAAAGTCAGAAATATGTATAACATGGTGTTAGAACACTAAAAGAAGTTTAAAATTGTCTTTGTTAGATGCTCTCACAGTTAACTAGCATGTTACCTCATTTACCTTTTGTCACCAATTACTGGTAAACAGGTGAGGGCCCATGATTACTATAAATATAGGGAGCATGGGCAAAGGTTTGTAATTCCTGAATGAACATGGTAAATGTTACTCGGCAAGCAAGGAAAAAACACAGCCTATAATTACTTTATGAAAGGTCAGTCTTTAAGACGAATTGCAAGAAGTTTGCAAGTGTCTGTAACTGCTGTGGCCAAGACTATCTAACGATATGAAGAAACTGACACTCGTGAGGATCAAAAAGGACGGAAAAGGTCAGGCAGGCCAAAGGTGACCTCAGAATCAGAGAATACGTTCATTAGAGTCATAAGTCTGTGAAACTGGTGACTTACTGCCCCTCAACTGTTCAGAGGAGGTTGCGTGAAGCTGAATATTTAGAAATAATCAGATGTTGAGGACCGAGACAAATAATTATACAGATGTTTTAAAATAAGAAATACATTTTAAATGTATCTTTTGCTGACTTAAGTATTTACTGTAAATCCAAAGTTCTGAAGACAAATGTTGGAAGTATTGTGTTTCTTCATCTAATGTAATGATATATACAGTAACACTATTTCAGTGTAAACTACACTCAGCAGCACATCTTGGATGAAAATCACCCATCCAAGACATCCGTAATAGCCAGTACTCCCATGGTACTCTTCAAAAGAGTAGGGCTGTTAACCCTGGTGTCCTGGCATTATAGGGTCTTGAATAATCTGGCCTCCCTAAATTTACCCCCTAATTCATCTGAAATAACTTCTCCCTTCTCCAATGATTTGCTGGCTCGTGAGGTCGGTGGCACAGAATGGCTGCCACACATCACACAGGTGGATGATCCTGCATTTTATTGGTATATGAAATGGATCCCTTCCTAAATGTGAAGTGCTTTGGGATCTCTTGATCAACAATAAAGATTATTATTGTTACAACTACTACCTTCTGTCTCATGGAAAATCTTCTGGTGTCCATAACTGGCCATCAACTCATATCTGCTGCTTTCATCCCACTGAAATAAATCAGTGATAATAATTACACACAAATTATACAGTTGTACAAATTAAAAGTAAGCACACACCTAAACTGGAAAACGTTCAAAATAACTGTAAATATTTAGTACGGTCTCCATGCTGATTGATTGTCCAAGTCATGGCAGCAACAAAATGTAGTTTCAAGGGACTGATCTGACCATTCTGGGAAGATTTTTAATATTTTTGAATTTAGCACAGAATTTGCTAATGTGTGAGGGTGTTAGTGGAAAATCTCTTACGTAAATGACCTCTTGACTGCATTATATGTCAGGTGCTTAAAAGCTGCCATCACATACTGTATGTAATGCAGGCTTGCTGTGTGGTAATGCTGTAATTCTTGACAGTAAAGCAGGAATCTATCCCTAGTCCTATTAACAATCCCTACAGGTTTTTGCTTTTAACAATTCTGATTAATACTGAAAGGTGACAAAAAAACAAGAAATTAAACTTTCAAACTTAACTTAAATTAAACTTGACTTTCAAAGTCAAGTCATTTTGCAAAGGCACGTGTTTACTCTCAGAAGCCACATGGCTGAAGAGAGCCAGCAGATCCCTGTGCTGCCCCTACCCTACCTCTGCTGGCTTTTCCGTTCCTCGTCCTTCCATGATCTCATATGCCAGATCGGTTTTGCGCTTCTCATCTTTTTTCTTTGGTTTCTTGTCTGAAGAAGGAAATTAAAATACATTTAATTAATTGTGTTTTTTTAAGCATTTTATTAAAGCACATTTACCCTCTCATTCAGGTGATGTAAAGAAAAAAGAATCTGTATCACAAGACTGCTGATCTAGCTGATATTGAAGATCTTATAGCTGATATCTGATACAGAACGCGAACCGGGTCAAAGGACATGCACCAGGAAATAAATGAAAGAAAAGGACGTTTATCCTGCCTGAAACTGAAAAATGAAGAGTAGAAAAGCTATTTAGCATCACCGACAGACAGCTTTGTGTCAAAAACAACAGCTTAAACTCTTCTTTTGTTTGAAATTCTGTTATTAAAGGGGAACTGCAAAGCCATTTTTTTTATATTTCAGGGTTTAACGAATCAGCGATGATGAGTGCATTTCAAAACAGAATGAAACTACCAAGTACACGGTAATGTGCACAACCTACAATTTACCGTACATCACGAAAGAAAAAAAGTTTCAATGTATGCGTAGTGCCATACAGTTGTCAGTCTGCAATTCAGAACTAGGCAAGACAATTTTCTGTCACATGAAAGTGGTCCTATTACACTGTAAACACGCTTTACACCAAGCAAATTTTGCTGATAGATTTTCAATATTTTCATGAAACACATAAAAGGTGACGTTTTTTTAGATACTTTATCTAAATATTGCAAAAAAGGGGTAATCTGCCAACCAACTTAAATACACTCATAATCATTTTCAAGTTTTCCAAAAAAGCTCTGTCATTTAAATTGGTGAATATTTCATGGTAATTCGCACCTAAAAGAAATCTAGTAGGACTTAGCTCCATAGCACCATAGCTCATGCCGTCGCTAGAACAGCTGATTTGAAGTGCGACTGAATTGAAATGGTTTTGCTGACAAATACTACTTACTTATTAATTCAGCATGCAGATCATGTTAGAACATTTCTGGGGCAAAATGTCCACTGCATGATCTGTACCTATTCACACTAAAACGGGGACCAACACCAGTGTCCTAGTTTATTACCATTTTCTTGGCTAGCTGAATAATCCTTGGAAAAGAAAAAAGTTTGCCTTTCTGATGATCTGATCCTCTGTTTTGCGTGAAACCACTATGTTCTGAACAGCTAAATGCTCGACAGTGAGCCATAATATAAAATATACGCATTTAAAAAAAACAAAAAGGATTCACGTTGCTGGAAGATGTTTTTCTCATGCATTTACAGTGACTAGTGAGCAGGAAGGGCCGCTTTCAAGTCACAATTCACGCCAACTCTTGCTCTCATCCTTTGCGAGACCAGCAGTTTCTCATCTGCCCATGCCAACATGGCAACCATACAGCACTTTCACAAAACACACGATTTTGCACTTAACTCAATATTTGGAAAAATTTGAAATAACATCAATTCATTTATTTTGTTACAAAGATTCAATAACCAGTCTGAGAAACTGGGGCTGCAGTTCCCCTTTAAAAGCAATAGTAATGTTATTCAGAAATTAGAAGTGAAACAAACAAAACGGCTGCAGTATCCTTTCCTAGGAGAGCACTTATCACCTTGAAAACTGTATAGACGCTCAATCAATTAAAAACACAGATTCAAAGGGAGAGAAGTATAGACAAAAAAAGAAGAAATAAGGAGGACACAAAACAGCATAGAACTTTTATTAATGTCAGTGACAAGAAGAGGGAAAAACACATGTATTCAGAAGAAACAGAAAGGTTGGCAGATGTGGCTTTCCAGTGCCAGAAGAAGAAGGGTGCTAGGGCTTGGTCAGTTGCTATTAACAGCTTACCTTCTGATGACTCTTCACCGGTGGAAATCTCCTGACTTTGGTCATCAACCCCAAGGGGCTGAAAGTGAAAACTCGACAACATTTCTTGGGAATGCTCTTGTTGTTTGACATTCTTATTTTCCACGGAATTGCTTCTTGGTGAAATGCCAGGTGGATGCTGCAATCTTGCATTATATTTGCTCAAGATGTCTGACAAGGATCCACTTTCAGGAGTACTAGTTAAGCCATCGGTCTTTCTGTCAGACTGGTTGTTTTCAATTTCCTCAAACTCATTTTTTCCTAGTGATTTCTTGTTCTCTGAACACATCCAGAGAATTGAGGCTCCTTTTGTAATGTCTGCACTGACCAAAGACCCATTTCTCAAGGCTGGAGCCATTGGTTCATACAGGTTATGCACCCTTAAATTTTCACTGCAGTTACTAATTTTCCAATAGCTGCTGTGCACTCCTGTGAAGAGATTTGAACTGATGTCCTTGTGATGGAATTTTATCTCGGTTGCACCTTTTTCACTGCCTTTCTGAAGACATTTCCTATCTAAATTCCCACTTGCACGATTCTTCACCGCATCAGTGGTAGGAACACTTCTAGCATCCCAGATTGCTTCATAATCATCATCATCACCAGCATTCCTAAGTCCACATTCGTCATCTATATTCTTCTTGCTGGTTTTCTCACTGTTTGTGGGCTTACTACATTCTAAAAAACAGCAGAAGGTTTTTGCAGAGCTCTTTTCTGAAATGGCAGGATTAGATCCTGCTTTGAGAAATTGTATTACATGCAACATCATAAATGTTTCATAACATCATGAAAGTTATTGTGATACTATTTAAAGACACAGCGCAAATATTGCATAACATATTGTTCATAACATACATATGAAAAAGTGCAGCTTTATAACATTGTGGGCTTAAAGAATAAACCTAATAGAGATTTTAATGCTCAGTTAAGAATTATAAGGTAAATAAATACATACTGTATGTTAACAAATAAATCAATAAAAAGTTACCCTTGTACTATTTTCCAAAAATAGTTTGTATTTATCACTTGACTTGCTGAAAATAAATCTTTAATTACTATTTATAGTACTACCATATACCATAATTATCTATAAAATGTCAGTTTCATCTTCCTGAAGGTAAGTTGTTATTTTCACACTATACTGTAGGTCAACTGTGTTTAATAATATGCTTGTATGATCTGATTAAATACACTGCGATACTTGGACAGACATAGTTTACTAGGTAAATGACGTAAAAAACATGCTATACCAGATGCAACAGCAAAAACATTATTCATAAAAAATGAATATAACAAGATTTGTAAATATGACCAATAATTGCTGAAGCTATTAAATACACAATAACAAGAACAACATACATGTGTTTTGAATTATCATGTACCATAAGGATTTTGAAACATTTCTGTAATAAGCTACCATCTCTCATAATTAGACCTTACTCAAAACACCTTGCTATGTATGGAATAAAACATTGTGACCTTTTGTCATAAGGGCAGTAACTGAGCTACGTTACTGTAGGTACCCAACATGATTTTCTATCACACAATGTTCCAATTTGTAAAGAAAACCAATCACGGTGTTACAGAAATACATGAAACAATTGACCAAGAATTAAATCATGATTCAAAATGTAAGGCACGTGCCTACCGGTGACAAATTTGATCTTGATAATGCACCTAATTCTTGTGACAAATACTAGCACAGCTTAGATGTTCAAAGGTATTTTTTACTTGTTGCAATAGTTCAATTCCTCAACTATCTGTAGTCCTTGTCATTTTTTGCAAAAATATATTACAGTTCCAAAACTGATAATTAACCTTTTAAAAAGACTCAATGCAGTAATGCAGTAGAGCACTGGATCTCAGTCCTGGTCCTGGATAACCCTTGTCTGATCAGTTGTTTTGCTCCTGCAAAGTAATCTTTATCACAGGGTTATTTATTTTTAATTCAGCTCTTAAAAAGATGAATGAGATTTGTAAGTGATATGCACTCAGTGCTAATTGGGGAGTTTCAGCACTATCTTCATTCAGCTGTGCCAGCTGAAATATTACCATTTGGACTTTAGCAGAAGGAAAAAATCTGACTCACTGTATGGTAGGAGTCAGTATCATTGCCACCTGTGTCTGTTCATCATCAAGTGATTACTCTTTAAGACCTGTTTGGTACTGTAGGAAGTAGGGAGCAAAATCTCAATGAGCAAGTTGAAGGGGACTGCATAAAGTTTTGTGTTATGTAGTGTCTGGGAAAAATGTTCTTAATGGGGGTATTTCTGAAACCAAAGAGTGCAGAAAACCAACCAGAAAGAACAGTCACAGGAACCAATAAGCACTGTTCACTAAGGACTGAGATGGCCCAAAGACCTTTAGACACAGGGACTCCAGGACCAGGAATATGAACCACTGCAGTAGAGAATAATGGCAAAGAAACCACTCTGTGTGGATTTTTACTATACAATTATCAAAGTCACCTGTTCTTGACACTTGGGAACATTATGTTAATCAATTGTCATATGCACGAAACATCCGAAGGAAAATAGTAACAGAAGCACACTGAGGGGTGTTAATACATTTGTGACTTCTCTGAGTATTAAACTTCATATATACTCACCGTATACTCTGGTCTGTGCTCGGCTTTTTAAAATTAAAGTCGAGACAGTTTAGACATGGCAGAATAATGAATCTTGACATTAAAAATCACATACCTGGTATAGCTGGCATGGATAAGACTCCTGAATGTGAGAGTGTTGTTCCCTTTACAAGAGACAAAACAGAATGTTATTATGACTTAGATTTTTCACACCATTACTATGAAATCAATATCTTTCACACTGTTGAGTCCTGCGAAGAAGAATGGTATTTGCAGTATGAAATTGTATGACATCAACATTAAGATCAACAATACCCAGAAAATGAATGCAGATATCTGAAAGCAACATCTTAATATTCTGCTTTAGATATAGTTGGGAATTTGCACCAGCTAAAGCTGCTCAAAGTTCACAAATGATGTTGCTGTTTAACACCATCGTGGGAAGACAAAGCACCACTATATGCAGTACATGTATTAATATACTAACGAAACGAGCTAAGCACATCAAGTGCTATTTCTCAGTCCTAAACTATTCAGTAGTCAAAAGAGCATCATTCAAATTTTTATGTTATACAGGAAATATTAATATTCAGCTGCTGCTTTTATATCTCAAGACATTATTAGCAAGACTATCAACATTCTGACCTTCAATGATGAAAGTTTTTTTTTAACTTTTATTTTGGTTTCCTTGAATAATTCATTAAAAGCATGAAGGAAAAAAGCAATTAAAATCAAAAAGTAATCTTGACATTTTTTCTGAAAATTGCAACTTAGAAATGTCAGATCTTCCTGGCAATTGCTTAAACAATTAACTTGCTGCCTGTAATTGCTAATTGTTTTGTGGATCAATCATGTAAGGCAAGGCTACCCAGTCCTTTTAAGTTATTTATGAAGTTTTGTAGGTAAATGAAAACCCCAGTGACAGCAAAGCTGAAAAAAAAAACTCAAAAACATCTGAAGTATGTTCTTTCTGTTCCAAGCCTGTGGGGGAATAAATACTTTCAGCCAGAAAAGAAAGAAATTGAAACACTACTTGACTGTTAAAACCTTTCTTGAATAGGTGTTGGGAATAGATCTTAATAAATACTAATCACCACTACAATTTAAATATACAATTCTGCTTGCATTATAAGTTTAAGAAATAAGTATCTAAGCCTGATGTTGCAGAGCCTTAATTCTTCAGGTTATACAAGTATCTAGAGTCAGCAGCTAAAGATCGTGTTCGTTTTCTCCATCAATTGGTTTGATTATGTAACTAAGAGCCTAGATCAAATGAAAGCCAAAACGCTCATAAACATGTCCAGAATCATTGCCTGAAACCTCAGATTTCAGGGAATTAAATTGTGTACGCTGTAAATGAAGACCCACCTGCGGTGTGTAGTACCAGATTAGAGAGTGGCTACAGCAATTTCATTTTTTTTTGAGTGCAGACCACATTTATCAACTCTGTGCCACCGCTCATGAGTAATACAGCAGAGAAAGAATAATTGCGTTGGCGGGATAAAAAGGGAAACTGATAGTGCTTGAAGATTATAGGTCATCTTTTCCATTTTTAAGTATCGTTACTTTATAAAGTTTTAAAATGTAAAAAAAAAACAGCATTTCACTGTGAGTAATTTTATAACCAATGAATCAGTTTTTTTAACTAAAAGGATCTGTAACACAACATACTGTACTGTAAGATCAAGACATGACCATGAACTTTCAAATTCTTGCAAGCTGTATTGATGAACTATGATTGTGGTCTGATGACTCCAGATGCATTGTAAAATCAATATTCTACCTTTCCAGGGAAGTCATTGGTCAGGTGAAAATGCTAGCAAAGTGCAAAGCACGACTACCAGCGATCTGAATTGTTTTCACTATATACATATACAGTGCCTT